GTGGTAGAGCGTCCGCCCGGAGAGTGGAAGGTCCGGGGTTCGATCCCGGCCGCGTCACTCAAAAAGACTTTTAAAGATAGTTCTTGTTGTTACCCTGCCCGCTCGACATTTACTGGTCGACTCGGAGTCAGTATACTGTGTCTGAGTGGGGTATTCATGTTAAACCGTTAAACCTTAAAAGGTTCCGGGTTCGATTCCCGGCCGCGTCATACCAAAATACGTTAAAAGATGGTACTTGTTGTTACCCTGTCTGGCGCTCGGCATTAAGGGGCTAAGACAAGGACTGGTCGGCTCGGAGTCGGTATTCTGTGTCTGAGTGGGGGTATTCATGTTAAACTGCGGCATGGTATCTCAGGAGGCTTGCACTATAAATCGGCATCTGTCGGGACTAGAACAAGCAGCCACCCATACACGTGCATGCACGTTGCTATATAAATGCAATAATCTTTGACCCGATGTTAAACCCCATTTCACGTCAATTATCATATAGTTGTTGCTGCGTCGGTTCTAATTATATGTGTTGCTGCTACGTCGGTTCTAATCATACCGTTGTTGCTGCGTCCACTACGATCTTCAACCAAACTACGATCTGCAACTACCACTACGATCTGCAACTACCACTTCGATCTGCAACTACCACTACGATCTGCAACTACCACTACGGTCGGTAAGCATTTAAACAGTAAAAAAATGTTTACCGCTGCCAGACTTCAACCCTACCTACCATAGACTTGAACTGATTCATCAACGAATCTCCAAATTTAAACTTTTCACGTCCCCATGGTCGTCCCACTGTGGTCAGGCATCTTCCCGAGGCAAGGGAGTTAACTGACAATAACAGTCCAGCTTCCACCCTTGCCGAACTAGGCTGGAGTTGTGGTTTGATTGGACTAACGAGTCTATGCATAGTCCAATGGAAACCGCGTGACGAAATCGACACATGGTTCGCAAACAATATGGCGATTGCGGTCGATTGCAGGATTTGCAGAGCTTGTATTCCCTCACCTGAGCGTCAAAATCTCTTCAAGTTTTTAATCAAGGTTCTCAAGTGGTTTCATGTACGAGGGTCGTTTAATGAGTTTTGTAACTTCTATATAGACCAAGTTTTGCACCTCTATTTTTCAATATAATCTCCATTCACCTCAATACACTTATTCCATTTGTCCTGCAAGCTTTTAATACCACTTTTATAGAAATCCGCAGATTGGCCCTCTAACCACACCTCTGTGACAGCCTTTATGTCCTCGTCATGCTGGAAGCGTCTTCGACGTAGGGCAGATTTCATTTGCCGGAACAGGAAATAGTCACTGGGGGCTAATTCTGGGCTGTAGGGTGGGTGATTTAACTGTTCGAAATCACATTCACATATGGCGGCCTGTGCAATTCTCGACTTGTGAACCGGGGCGTTGTCATGCAAAAGTAGAATACCACGTGTTAACATCCCACGGCGTTTCTGGCGAATAGATTTTCGCAATTCTTTCATTACATTAGCATAATACTGCCCATTGATTGTAGTTTTTGGTGGCATGTAATCAATCAGTAAAATGCCTCTTCCATCCCAAAAGGGGCGGTCGGGTAGCCTAGTGGTTAAAGCGTTCGCTTGTCACGCCGAAGACCCGGGTTCGAATACCGACATGGGTGCAATGTGTGAAGCCCATTTCTGGTGTCCCCCGCCGTGATATTGCTTGAATATTGCTAAAAGCGGCGTAAAACCAAACTCACTCACTCCAACCCAAAATATGTTGGCATTACCTTGCCAGCCGATGGCTGAGTGCGAAACTTCCTCGGAGGTGGATAATTGGGGTGCTTCCACTGCATGGATTCCAATTTAGTTTCTGGGTCCCAGTGGTGGATCCATGTTTCATCACCTGTCACTGGACGAGAAAGAAATCCGGCTTCATCAGCAGTACAGAGATCCAGGAGGTCTCGGCAACTTTCAGTTCTCTGATGGCGATCTTGAGCACTGATGTTTCTAGGTACCCATCTTGCAGATGCCTTGGACATACCAAGATGCTCATGAATAATGGTTCCAACAGTTCCAACTGATATTTGGAATTCCCTAAAAAGTTCAGATATTTTCACTCCTCTTTCTATAGCAGCGATGGTTTCCGGTTGGGTGGCATCTGAAGGCCTGTCTGACCTTGGATCATCGTTTCCCTACCCCTTTTAAACTGTAGAGACCATCGGCAAACTGTGGATTAGTCAGGAGCATCCTTACCCATCACTTTACACATGCGATCATAGATTTCTCTTGCTTTGCATCTCTCTTTGGTAAGGAACTTTATTACAGCGCGTTGTTCATGTTTGAGAGAATCCATGATTGTGACCACCCTTAGGTGAATGAAGCCATCACATCTAACTTATTGTTGTGTCTGGAACTTGTTATGACAGGTGCCAGCCTGATGTTATGACTAGTGTCACAACTGCCACAAGTTGACATTGTTTGTGTAAACACAAATGCCCAAGTTGCAAAACTTATTGAACGCCCCTCGTACGTCTCGAGGTCAGACCCATATTATTCCAATAAAGATGTTGATTATCGATCAGATCGTCTTGACTGGGCGCCACCATTTTGTTTGAAGCAAATGTAAGTGACATGAGGGGTGGAATCTGATTGGTCAGTAGGAGGGATATAGAAGGGACGTAACCCGTAATCGCCACGATCGCTACGATCGAGCCTGGAAATTCCACCCTCGTTCGGCAAGGGTGGAAATTGGACATTTACAGCCAACTCCCTTGCCTAGGGAAGATGGGGTCTGACGACACGAACACACAGGCGCCAGTTCTGGCATTACAGCTCAATGCTCATTACGGTCCAATGATTTTAACGCCCGCCAATATTAGCAACTTGTGTCGCCAGTCAATACATCTGATCAGTGCAACGATCACCGTCTATCAATACATTTAATCAAAGTGCCTGCCACAGCATGGTAGCCATTTGGCCATATCCCCTTCGTTATTTGAGGGGGCAATTCTAGACGGACGTCAAGCTAATCGTGTCCGACTGATTGACCAATGTTTTAACGGCCATTTACCTCGCACCTCTGGTATCGATCAGCTATTGTACAGAGAGGGTGATATCTAATCCTTTGATCACAGGGTGTATTTTTAACCTATCTATTGATGAAAAAAGGAAATAATAGTGATAATAATAAGGTGACGTGAAATGGGGTTCAACGTCGCGTTCAAGACGGTTGCACTAGTCTTATAAAGCGACGTGCATGCACGTGTGTGCGTGCGTGCGTGCGTGAGTGTGTGTGTCTCTGCTTGTACTGGTCTGGACTAATGCCGATTTTATTGTGCTATCCCACAAAGATACCATCCCGCAGTATTGCTTGACTGTGTGGACTTTGCAATTGCAAGGGATTCACATGATCAAACAGTAAATCTGAAATATTTCTTTTCCCGTGTAAGCGGGCATCAAATCTTGAGCTACTTGAAAGAAATTGGGTTTGTATAATAAATTTTAAATATGTATGTGAATACTAGTAATTAATTGCTTGTTTTTAAATTTGGTGTGATGCTTTTATCAACAAAGATTATACAAGGTGGCGGTCTGATAATAATCAAATGTTTAAATAACAAAGTATATTCTATTTTCATCCTCCTATCCGTAACTTGCAACAAAACAAAACGGTGTATTTAAGTATATGAAATGTACAGAAAGCAGGGGGACCGAGGCTAAGGGGTCTTCTGTGTGAATCGAATATGTACCGTGGTGTGTCTGTGCCAATTTTGCACCGTGGGTGGGGGTTCAAGGTCGATTTAAGGAACTTGATTCAACTGCAATTTAACTTGTTGACATGAAAACCAAGTTGCACCAAACAAAACCAGGTCTCACCCCGGTCCTTTAAATTTATCAAAGGTGAAACATAGGCCGGCATGCTGCAAGTGTCACATATATTAACGATGCATTGCTGTAAGACGTAATAGAACCGTGCACATAATCTTAAGTACCCACATTTTGATGACGTCAAGCCTAAGAAAGCATAGCAAATTACACGTAACACTGGGATTAGGGATGTAGTGCAGCAAATATACTTTAGAGTTATTTAGCGTGTTCAAAGATCGATTTTGTGTGATCAAGTGAGGGTGATTCACTCACAAATTTGATTTTTTTATGCACTTGGTGCATGCAGACGTAAATATTTGGTTGCACTTGTGCATGTTTTATATAGTTAAATCGAGCCCCGGGGTTCTACTCTAGATCCTGACCTGGCTGTGTTTTCACCCTATTTCATGGTCAACCATCCTCGACGAATCAAATGCAGGTTGCCTTCATAGCTTGCAAAAACAGTTGCTTCAGCGACAAAACCAACGCCGGGTTCAGAGCGTCAATTTAGCTAGTATTGTATATCCCGCCGTTATATGGCTGCAATACCTTTGCTTGCTCACTTCACTTCCCCAAAATCCCGTGAAGAGCGGGTTGATAATTGGTCGTAAGAGGCGGCTAACGGGATCGGGTGGTCCGGTTGGGCGACTTGGTTGATGCATGTCATCGTATCCTAACAGTTCGAGGCTTATAACGATCACTGGATTGTCTGATCCAGATTTGATTATTAACATACCGCCGCCATGTAGCAGGATAATTGATGTGTGCGGCGTTAAAACAACAAACAAACACCCACGAAGTCGGAACTGGTAAAATAACGCAAGTCCTTTAGATTCTGCTTTTACTTCTTTATCATTCTAAGTGATTTCAACTGTTGCAACTCCCGGGTCAGTGGCTGGAAAATGAAAGGTCTGAAGAGCCTTGCAGATTGTGTTTCACCTTCCTCGATCGTTGCTCATGCTGTCAACCACTGGATTGCATGCCAAGTCTCGAACTTTCAGAGCCCCATGATATAGCTGGAGTATTACTGACCGGGCGTAAAACAACATTCACACTGACACATTGACGCGATTTCCCCACGTTAACCACTGGTCATGTACGCCAAGTGCGCCTACGGTATTGTTCGCTGTGCTCGCGACTTTCAATATTTAAACACCAAAAACATCACTAAACGGACACAATGTTTATTAACACTGCACATGATATCAATACTCGTTTCATATAGACAGGTCGTGTATTGCTGGACAGGCCATGAGGGATTTTGAAATTTTGGCATAAATTACATTTTTTTCTAAACAATACGATCATTTTAAAACATAAGATACAAAAATAGAGATTCAACAGGATTCGGAGAATAATTGTGTTTACAAAAGAAGTATGAATTTCAGCTAAATCGTATTGTGCAATGCCGTTTTGAATAGATCTTCCATCATCGACCTGCGTCAATAAATTAACAATATATATACAAACTTTACACGGGTTAACAATATTTTACAGTGTACTATACATATTTTCTTCCATAACAGTTTGTAAGTTTCAACACCAAATTAACAATTACATACTGTACATTTAACTGTTTTATCTATATCATTTGTGGAAATAATCTAACAAACTATCATTTATCATACATCATGGTGTAAATGCCGCATACCTTTGTACCAGACAACACACCTTTCCTTAAATGCATCATTCTGTGCAGGCCTTCCACACAGCACTCACTGTATTGCTAATGTTCTTCTCAAGGTGCCTTTATATATGCCTAGTTCCTTATATGTATATGAGACTCGCAAACGTCCGGAACTGACCACGTCCTACATTGTCCTTGGCAGTGGTCAGTTGAAGGTCAATCCACACGTGTACTTCACTTCGTTGTGCGTTTATTGAAAATGTCATTTAAACACAAATACCTCGCAGTACTTCCAAACAAACTTAAGAAAACTAACAACTTGACATTGAACCCGGATCTACAGAATCCGCGCAGTCCACACCAACAGCAGGGGTGGACGGTTTGCGGTTGCCGAGTCGACGTGACGCTTGAATACGCGTGTTGCGTGAACTCCACGTGCACTGTCACACTCCAAATGGGTTCTTCTGTTGCACTCGGGATGTCCCAAAACGGTGTTCACATAGATTTTTATTAAGTTTGTTTAGCAGTAAATACGTCAAACACGAATGTTTCTCACCCTGACCCTTCACTCACTTGAACAACATGGGCACCGAGAAATAAGACTCCTTTCTCTGTACACGAAAAGAAAGGGATTGCCAAACAGAAAGGAACCAGTGAGCCTTGCATGTAATTACATTACCTGATTTTATGTTTTACTGCGCTTTCATGTTCAAACCTTTACTGCAATTTTACACGTCATATCGGCCCATGACATTCTCGGTAACCATGGAGAATTTGTGAGTTGTAGTGAAAGGTTCATCACGCTTTCTTAGGCCTCCACCCGCCAATAAAGTCTAATATTTTCTTAATTTCCAGAGCATTGAGTTCCGGGAAGCCTTCCTTCAGAAGCTTCTTGTCCAGTCTCCCCAACATTTCCCCATCAATTTGCTCGTTGGAGAATCTCAACACGACACGGTCCTTCATTCCTATATAGCGGAGACATTTCGACACCTCTTTCACAGTGAGATGTTCGGTCTCACCCGGGGGGATGTAATTCTCATCCTCCGGTTCTCCGTACTCGGAATAGCTGTAATCGCTGCCATTAGGATACCCATAGTCTCCTCTGGACCCCATCGATATGGCGGAGTCATCACCTTGTTTGAGGTAAGGATCGCTAAGTCCCGAAACTGAGGCGGAGCGATGGTATTTTCTGTAAGGCGACTCGTTCTCTATGTAATGCCCATGCCCATGCCCGCTACCCGGGTAGTAGATGGCGCTGGGGTCATGGGTCATGCCGTATGGGGTCTCGAAATGGCGCCGGTGGAACTCCTCTGGTGAAGGGGGCGGTTCCCCACCCCTGAGATCCCTAAACGAGTCGCTGAAATGAAACACCTCCATCACATTCCTCATCTTACGAAGGTTATGGCTACGAATTGTAGCGTTGGGGTCCATGTGGAGATTTCGCTGAGATTTCGATTTGAATTTGGCTGGAGTACCTGTCCTCTGTCTTGTTTCGATGTCCTGGTCGTCAAAGAAACGGGGATCGTAGCTGTGGGGTATATGTGCTCGCCACGGAGGCGGTTTCCCTTTATTGTTCGACCCATACAATTGGGACGTGCTGACGTTGTAACGGCTGTTGATGGTACCGTAAGGCTTGTCTTTGGACTCTTGGGAATAAGCGAAACTAAACAGATCGTCAATGTCAAAAGGGCAGTTGTCATGAAAGTCTTCCTCGCCGTGACAGGGGATGTCACTTCTAGCTTTCCGTGCGCGCGCATACTTCATAGAGTCACGTGGTGCGGTAGGGGGCTTTCTTCGGAGAATGGCGTCAGTGCCTTCACTGTAAGCGGTATCAAAATCGCCTTTCAAGTTCATGGGCACCATGTAGCCGTCATCCTCATCTTCCTCCTGCATACGAGTCAGGTCGGAGAAGGACCGGCTTGGTGGCTTAGGAGCCGGGGGAAGATGTTCATAGATTGAATCTTTGGAGATATTGTGATCACCGCGACTCCCTATATGCCCTTTGTCATCAGGCGGGATCGGCGGAAGATCTCGGTTCTGTATATGAGACTTATGGATTTTGCCATAGGTGTCCTCTTTCGATGTTGAATTCTTATTTGGTTCACTCTCGGGACTCTTAGACTTGTTCCTTTCACTGTTTTCCTTGTCTTCTTCATTGCTGTTCAGTCCATTGAAAAACTCCTCATAACTCACATCGTTCTTACTCAATCTCCTTGAAAACACATCGTCTCCTTTCATAGCCTTTAATTTTGCACGCTCTTTTTTCGTCCTTCGGACACTGAGTTTGTCAAGGAGAGCGGACGTCTTGGATTTTTTGGCTTCTTTATCGGCACGTTTGGGTAGTTCAATGTTCGACGTCGCCTCTACCTTGGTCTCCTCACTAGGAGCTGGATGCTTGGGATCGGAGTCTTTCTTAGCAAGTCTCTTCTTGGCTTCTCTGAAGAAAGTCACCTCCCCGTCCATAGGAAGCTCCACTTGGGTAGGTTCACATTCTGATTCCTCCTCAGAGGGGATCTTCGTAACAATGGCGTACTCTTCCTCTCGTGTGCTCTCAAACTTGACAGTTCCATTTGGACAAATAGCCTTTTCGGAGGCCCCGGAGTATATGATCTGGGCGTTGACGGGCAAGCCAAACGCCATGATCAAGTCCTGAAGTTCATACACAGCATCATAGTTAGCAACGGTAGCATCCCCTACTGGACTGAATACTCCGGACATGATGAGAGGTATCATGATCTCTTTACCCTCACTGTCATAGCATTGCAGATATTTCATATCCTGCTCCTTCTTGGAGTTTTTGTTGGATTTGAGTAGCTTCTTGAAGATGTTCTTTGAAACGGACTTGGTTTTCTTGTTATCCATGTAGATCATGCCAGTCGTTAATACTTCCCCGGACTTTATTTCACAGGGCATCCAGCAACTGACACCGTCTTCAATGCTGAGCTGGTAGCCCACGGTTGATGTCCGAACCAGAAACCGCCGAGGCTTTACGCTGGTGATACCGTGGATTGTGTCAAAATACTCAACTGGTCTTCCATCGTCTGGGACAACCTCAAACCAACCTGGAAGAAGAAATATGACCATGAATACATAGAAATCATTAGGTTCGTAGTGTTATGATTTGAGGAAATAAACATTTATTACACTGAGCAATTCATACACAAGCAACGTAAATATTATCCATTGTTATCAATACAATGTAGCAATCGTTAGACAACAATGCTAATTTGATGACGTCTGCATAAAATACATAGGTGACATGAACTTTGAAATATGAATCAGTCGCTTGTACCAGAAGGTTTGGAGGAACGTCTTACTAGTCGCACAGTATTCTAGACGTCAATAAAAACGACAAAGCCCTTTCGATAGCCAGAAGAAATATCTGCTAAAACCAGAGTCGAGTGTACGATTTCGACAATGTTCGTAAAAAAGAACGTAACGTCTTCATAAAACCATAAACGACATAGCTTCCGAATACAGAAATAACACTATTTCCCATCAAGAAATCACAATAGAAACGGTTACCTACCACTACCCTTCTTATCCCCATGGAGTAAGGAGTAACTCTGAAACCCCAACTCAAATGCATGGTACACTATCAACAATGAAGTCACGTCATTTGTTTTTCGTCATCACTGCATACATTCTGTCCTGACCGATATCTCTCCCCACAGACACACAATTAACTGAAATCATTAATTCGGCGTCCCCGACTCCCAAGAAAACATACACTGAAAATGTCACTCAGGACTTCCAATAAAACACACAGTGTTCCCACAAACAGGCCCACATACTTACATACCTCGTATCGTTACTCAGCCAATAGCATCGTCATCACACTCTACGACAACCAGAAACACACATTAAATCCTATGACCGACACATTAAACTGGTACTCTCACTAACACCACAGTCGTTTCACTCGGCCAGAGCAGTGACTAACTATCCGGGCACCTGTTATGAGTGAATGTTCCCGCTGCACTCACGGACGTCAAACCAAATATACCGGTTGTAGTTCAAACACGTTTCTGAATAGAATTACGTAGGTTTTCCCCCAGACGCGTCCATATCCCTCCTACCTTGCTTACGCATCCCTTGCACAATTCGGCATTACGTAATTGTCAACATGGTGCGAATCTGCGTTCCTTCTGTGGGACTCATAAATATGCAACATAGGTTCTGGAAACGTGTGGAAGCGAAAGAAGGCAGTTTGATAAGTCGACCTTTCAAGGGTAAGGGCAGCAAAGCGTGATGAGTATGTTTGATGTCTTGCATAATGAAAGGGGTGGATTTCTCTGCATCTCTAAACGATCAACTGGTTTTTTTGGTCGCAAAGAAAAATCGAAATCAAGGTCATGATCAAAGGAATGCTGGTCGGTAATGGTCTGTGAATACCCTTTGGAGTAGTAACAATGTACGAATTAACGAGTCAAGGCATTCTTTCCCCACATATATCGTTGAAATAAATTCGGACATAAGAGCATATCACCACCATCGCCATCATTATCATCCTTATTACTACAAAACTTTGAATACGTTTTATTTCAAAGTTAAGATACCTTGTTGGTCATTGGCACCAACAAGGTATCTTCCTGGTAAAAAGTATTGCCAAAGACATTTTGTCGTCGCCGTAACGTTATATTGTTTGATGCGTTGCTGGTTAATATACCACTGTTGGGCCCTTCTACATGTGGTTCAAACCCAACATGTATCAGCCTACCATTTCTTAATTAAAATGAATCACAGGACTTTGTATCAGGATAGGGATAATTCCCCGATACCTGATTCCATATATATAAACATTATAGAATGTAAGATCACAGCCTAAAAGAGCTGAGTATAATTATAATAATGAGTGTTTTTTATGACTACACTTCAGTTTATGTATTATACCTTAAACCAAGTAAAACTTGACCATATGTCATACTAGTGACAGTGAGTGGATAATACAAAACACGTGCAGTCAGGGCTATCTCTCAATATAAAGTCGCCATGCTGTGACCTCAGTACGTTGACATCCCCGGCTTGTGGGAGAAGGCAGCCCCACCCGGGTCTCGCATGTTGTGGAGGGATCTGACATCCCCTTCTCACACGACGTGTATTTTCCAGGTACAGGGGAGCTGCAACGCGTCACGGGACAAGGTGACCGACCGGTGCTATTTGTCTACAGCTCTATAGCCCCTGCATGGTATGTTGCAATTATTTGACAACTGTGATCATGGCGACAGAGACTTTCGCGACCTTTCTCACAGAGTTGAAACGTTGGTTTGAGTGGGAAAATGTTGTATGTATATTTTGAATGTCGAAATGGGTTTATGTGGTATGTAGGTTGATAAAATAATATCGATTTTCGGTAATCGTGCTGCCTTTGTTTCTCTTGGTGTCCGTGCCATTACGTTCATTAAATAAATAACCACATAACCTATTTCTTTGATTTGAAATGTGCTCTATCACGACGCTCAATAATATAACGTGTTTGTTAGCGAGTGGGTGATTTGGGCCCAAGATGTTTTTTAATTGTCAAAGGGGGTCAGAACTGTCGTGCGTCGTAATTACTGCCAACCTATATCATCTAGTATATTATACCTTTCTAGTATGATAAATAGTATGGCTGCTTGTAGTTAGTCCGAACTGACGCCGATTTATAGTGCTAGCCCACTGAGATACCATGCCGCAGTATAACATGGATACCCCAATCAGACACAGTATACTGCCTCCGAGCCGACCAGTCCTTGCTTTAGCCCCTCAATGCCGAGCGCCAGGCAGGGTAACAACATGTGTCATCTTTTAACGTCTTTTGGGATGACGTTGCCGGGAATCGAACCCCGAACCTTCTGCCCTCCGGGTGAACGCTTTACCATTAGGCCACGGAGGTGGTCTAGAATAAATGGACCTGGTGAAGTCACGTTCGAAACGAATGGGTCCAGTGTAGGTATCAGAATAGAATGGAGGTAGGATACACTGGACAGAGGGTCATAATTGGGATGAATACGGGATTCGAACCAATATTAAGTAAGTCGCCCGTTGGTACATGTATTAAACAACAGCTGAATGTAAAGTTAGGTTGTATTTGTATAATGGATGGGTGAGTGAGTGAGCAGCCACTAGCGTCACCTGGACAATGGTCCTTGTACTGTCGACATTGCAGACGGTGGTCGTGCGTTCCTACCAGATGTGTGAATACATGCATATGTCTCATCACTCTGTCAGCCATGTTAGTACAGACATTACGACACCCCTGAATCAGCTCTAACAAGGTCGAGTTGAAATCATATATAGTTACTGAAAACTACTTGAAACAATATTCTCTCCACGAATTTCAAACATATCTAGGAGTGTCAGCTTAATGTTGAAGGAAAGTCCAAAACGACGCAGGTCCCAACCAACGAGCATGGGTATGCCATGTGGTCTTGATAGAACCAGGGGCGAATTTGGGATTCGACCACACTACCATCGGATCCTATCAGGTAAGGTAAGCAACTCTGCACTCATGACCTGACCCTGAGAATGGAGCGTGCAGGACTCATGGTACACACACGAAAACTCGCCTCTTGTAATCATCTCCAGGTCACGCTACCCTCACGCATGTCGCGGAACAAAGACAAGCTTCCCGAGGACCAATGAACGCTTTTTTTTCTTGTTTTTGTCAAGTTCACTGAAAGTTAATTAAACGAACAACCGTGTCCCTGACTGACAGAGACAATCCTAGTCCAGACACATATTCAACCATCCTACATCAAAGGCAAACCCACGGTCTGGGAATAACATGTACACCTACTTGACTATACTCTCCCTGGCCATTGATAAGGACACGTGGCATTGATAAAGTAGCATGTGTCAACTGTACCGCAATCCTCAGTATAGGGTACAAGGACTCTAGCCTCTCAAGACTGACAATATACAGTGTTTTGAATGATATATAGTCCAACCAGTTCAATGTCGCTAGTGTCACGGCTACAGTTACCAAGTTGGGGACATGGTGTTATTCACCGTTGCCCCGATTTAGTGAGGTATCTCGCGACTTTACAAGTAACAGTAGGGAATTTGTGAAGGACTACACCTTATTAAGATATGCTTACACTTGTTTGGGCATATGTTTGCCCAATTCACTTGCGTTTTGAAATGCGATCCTTTATTATTTTTGCTTTCAAATACTGTCTTGGTTCAATCACGTTAACGAATCTCCAAATTCAAAATTTAATTCTAACTCATTACTGAACGCTCTGGCTGAAGTTGTGCAAAAAATAATAATTTCGGAAATTAATCATATTTGCATTTACAGAATGAAACCATAACGTTCTTGTTCTTCCCATACACGTTTTCCTATTCTGGAGAGACGGGAAGTCCTGTAACGTGTTTGATTGTTGGGATGGGAGATCGGAGATGGCTTGTTGAACTATCAGACATGGCGTGGGCAGCTGTAGGCATCAACTGTAATCCTACGTGTTAACCATGCTTCCCATTAAGCACAAATAGCACCGACAAAGACACCCCAAACAGCAGTTGGCTCGCAATACGTGCCTCCTCAACAAACACGATAGACCGCTTTGTCACCTGAGCCAGAATAAAAGTTGGATTTTATCCCAAATACATATTTCCATAGTCATTCAATGTCCATTTTCGTCACTATATGCCCAATTGTGTGAGACAACATACACATGTTTATCTTACATTATCATTCATACCATGAGTCAGTGAGTTTGTGTGGTTTTACGCCGCATTTTGCATTATTTCCGTTTTTAACGATGAGGACTCCAGTAATTGGTTTGATTTGATTGTGATCCAGTGATTTATATCATGAACATCGATCCATGCAATTGGGATACGATGACATGCATCAACCAAGTCAGCGAGCCTGACCAACCCGATCCCATTAGTCGCCTCTTAAGACAAGCATAGTCGCCTTTTACGGCAAGCATGGGTCGCTGAAGACCTATTCTAACCCGGATCTTCACGGGTGGAATTGGCTTGAATCCATGTGGAGAATAGAACTCAGCGTGACGAGACAACGCTTTAACCACAAGGCCACGACCCAAGACCCTTAAGACAACCAGAGTTTCCA